TCCCCTCAACCACACGGAGGCCTTCCCGACCCCTTCCCTGCAACGCTCCCCTGACGGGAGGGGAAGGAAAGGGCCCAGCTGAGCAGGGAACAATCCCAACAGCCTTTTCATGGTGGTTTATTTTGCAGAAGTCACCAAGCTCACGCTTCCTCCTGGGAGCATCCAGAGCGCTCGGCACAGCCTGACCCCAATGCTGCCACCCGGCAGCACCACCGAGCTGCAAGGGCTGGAGAAGTCAGTGCTCCTCTGAGGAGGAAGCCCTTGAAAACACCACCCAAGAGGCTACAGCCAAGCAGGTGAGAAGGCGGTGGCACTTCGTGGAGGTCGGATTGCATTTGCCCTGCCTAAAGAGCTCTGCCCATGGTGCGTGCACAATGTAGGGCAGTGCAGCTGGGGCTGGTGGGACAAGGGGAAGCCTCGGTGTAGAGCTTCAGGGACACCAGCTTCCCAGGCGTTCCCTGGGGAAACTGAGGCACGCAATGCTCCTTACAAGGTGGGGAAGCAAGCGAAACCCAGAGCCGGTGCTGCACCTCCAACCCCAGCATCCTGCTAAAGGATGCCCCGAGGTGGGACATTTTTAGGATTGATTTAGCACCATCACACTGCCCCCAAACTGGGGCACGGCAGGGGAAAGGGGGCACATGGCTCAGGAGAGCCTGGACTTGTCAACCTCACCCATGCTGGAGAGAGCAACGCAGCAGTGAGCTTTCACCATCATTGCCCAGGTTTTCGGTGGCTGAGAACGCCAAACACCATCGGGAAGGCTGGGAGCAGCCACGCTGGGGGGAAGCTATCCTGCAGCACACGGTCACGTTTTCCTCCATCCAGCCCTAACACAGCAGGCTCAGGGCCAGTCGAAACCTCACGGTCACGGGAGTGAGACCACAGCAGGTCAACCATGGCATGGGACCGGGAAACTCGGAGCCGGCTTCAACACTTGCATTACGGGGAAGGAAGCACAGCACAGCCGAGTCACAAGTGTCCCCCTGTCATGGGTGGCAGAGGCACTGACCCACTGCAGACCCACAGCCACTGCGGTGCCCTCCTGGCACTGGGGCCAACATCTGCTTGGATACATTCCCCGCTGCAAGGCGAGGGCAGGCTCGCTACACACCCCCCCCCATTCCTTGTATTTTTGCCTTAAAAGCCCAGTTCTGTTCCCCAAATTCCTCCAGATGATCCCGCACACCAGGCTATGGGGACATCAGATGCTGCACGTCCACTGACACCCCCTGGAGCCAAGGGCTTGGGCAGATTTCTTTAAGGTCTAAACTAACATCAACTGTAAGCCCCCCCCCGCTAGCCCTGCCAGACCCCAGCCCTCCCCAACACCTCCCTGCTCCGCAGCCAGATCCATAGCCCGAAGGGAAGTCAGTGCAAGACGCAGATTTGCAGGTCCTGGCTCCTGGCCCAGGTTCAAACCACATTTGTTCCTGAAATCTGTTTCAGGGCTCTATTTTCAAAGCACGTGTGTGCAGAGGCATGTGCAGAGCAGCACCAGCTCGGCTGCAGCCAGCGCCCAAGTCGCCTGTGCCAACACGGGGCCAAGTCGGGGGCCTGGGTCAGACAATTCATGGTACTATTTTTTCCCCCCCTAAGCACGCTCTATACTGGCCTAGCTCACAGCTTCTGCCCATTAAAAAGACGAAGGACCAAAGGCATGGCTGTTTCTGTGAGCCCTGCCTGACACACTGCACATTTTTTTGCTCCCCAGGGGAGTTTGTCCTCACCATCCGCAGCTACAGGCAGTTGAAAAGAGGAATTTGGACTGGATCCATGCTCCTGTCCCGGGAACAGCCATGCAGGGATGGTTACTTCTATGCAGGGATGCTTATTTCCATGCAGGGATGCTTATTCCCATGCAAGGGTCCGAGCTGCTCTCCAGGCACCACGTTAAAGGGATGTCTCCCACACGGAGCAGCACAGGGATGTTGGTCTATGGGCATGGAGGCTGGACGTGTCTCCAGGGCGAGACGTGGAGCGCTGCGGAAGTGAGCTCACATGGGAAATTGTTCCGTGAGATAAAGGAACAAGTTGGAAACCGAGCTGCAGAATAGACAGTACAGGAAACAATAGCGCTTCAGATTAGGCTTTCCAGTTTCCCCCAGCGATGCCAGGAGCTTGGCGCTTTGTCCAGTGATGCTCGGGGGTTCCCCCCTTAGAGGCACTGGCAGGAAGCTCCGACTGTTTGCTCACTCCTACCTTCTCTCTTTCAGACGTTGCAGGCATTTGCTGACTGTTAAAATGAGAGGTTACAGACCAAGTCCTTCAGGTCTCATTAGATAAAGAGTTTTAGCTCTGCAATGACTTCAAAGGCCAGGCGTGATCCTGGCTCCAGCAGCAGGGAGAGGCAGGCGGGATGTCAGAGGCACAGAAGCCCCGTGGTCCATCCCCTCCTCGCCTCGGTGAGCCTGCAGTGCTGCTTCCCGTGCTGTTAAAGGCCTCCATCCTCTCTGGACCAGTGATGACCCCTCCGTGCCACCGAGGCAGCAAAGGAGCCTCTTGCCTCTGCAGCAGAGCCTTCACACAGGTCGGTCACCACAAACCACAGCTCTTCTCTTTGCTTGGTCCTCCAGGGACGGCCCTTTCTGCCTCCCCATGGTACCTCCGTGACTTTCCATCACTGTGGCACAAAGTCATTAAATGGGCAGAGCCATCGCTAGGGCATCTCCATCAACACAGGGAGCACTGCAAGGCCACTAACGATCGAGACGGGGAACATTGGACCTCCCTTAGCCGCTGCTGCGCCAGCCTGCAAATAACCCATCTCCCATATAAATACAGACAAATACAGGGCTGTGCTTTGGCAGAGCCTCCGAGGTGAGGTGCTTGGAGGAGCCTCTGCACTGCTGCTCCCAGGTCAAAGCGTGGAACCAGGAACTGACCCTCGATCCCTCAAGCAAAGTGCCCTTCTCTGACAAACCAGCACTAACTGGCTAATGATTACAGACACGGCTCCCTGCGGAGCCACACTCGAGGCTCCTCTCAGAGACACCAACGCCCAAGGTTTTGCTATGGGCCAGATCCTGAGCCAGCACAAAGTGGTGCAGAACAGCTGGCTCAGCACAGGGCAGCCCAGGATCAGCCCCTCTGGCTGGGAAGGTGTCAGGAGCCCACAGTGGAAAGAAGAGACAGGATATTGCTTGAAGCACAACAGTGCGGATGTGCCCCTGCATGTCCCCATCCTCACACCTCCCTGGAGAGCCCTGCCAATGCCTTCCCTTGCCTGACCAGCACAGGGGGGTCCGGGTGTGTTTGAGGTGCTGGGTGCTGAGGGGGTCTCCCCTGGCAGGGATGAATAGTTCCCCACTGTTAATGGCTGGACCTTGGCAAGGTTTGCATGGCTCAGTTCTCCCACAGCACACTGGTCACTGTGGGCAGTGGGTATCTCCTCGGCTGAGAGCAGAGGGACAAAGCTCTGCAGCTCCTTCCTGTCATCACCCTCCTCCTCTGGGCAGCAGCAGCCGGGTGGGAGGAAGAAAACTCACGTGTTCATTGCCACCTTCCCGCAGCTCAGGTCGCACACAGCACTGCTGGGTATGTGCTGTCCTGTCCTGGAGCACATGCTTGACCCAGGAACCCTCTGGGCTCTGCACTCTTATTGCTGCTCCCAGCTCCTAGTGCCATGGGGCAGTGGGTCCTGTCCCAAGTGACACACCGGCTGCACTGAGCACCCGCTTCACGTCCCTTCCTTTGCATGGCTCCTGGGGAGCCAGGAGGCTGAGTGAGCCAACAGCACACAGGGCAGCACAACACATTCCTTGCCAGCTACGACCTTTACTGCTGCTCCACAGCACTGGGACCAGGATGGGGATTGGGACCCCCTGGCTCCGAGTCCAGGGGGATGAGCCCTGGCATGCACAGCAGCCACGGGGTGAGGGAGGGCTGGGGAAGCAGTGCACTGTGCAGGGCCAGCAGAACGGGGGGAGCTGCAGCAGATTCCCACTCCTTCCCAGCAAGCACGCAGGAGGCTGCACAGCTCCCCGAGACGATGTTCAGCACCAGACAGGACCACACTAGGGTCAGCGCCATGAGATACCACCCCACTCCAGCCCCTGTACCCAGCAGCCCTGTGCAGTGGGTCCAGCCCCACAGGCTGCCCCCCATGCCCGACCCAACGGCCCCAGGAGGCAGCACAGCCTGCCCGAGCTCCTGCAGAGCTCCTGCACAGCGAGACAGGATGAAAGCCGACCTCGGCCACATGATGCTCTTCCGTGGTACCAGGGACTGTGCCAGGGACAGTGGGGACATGCCAGTGCCACCACTTACAGCCACACATAGGGGTTGTTGGGGCGCCCAGGCTGTTATGAGGTAACTTCCCGGCTGGATAGAGCCTTTAATCAGGCAAAGCAGAGCTCTGCACCCCCCCAGGTCCAGTAAGGGGCAGAGCGAGGAGCCTGGCTGGACACAGCTCTCCCGGTCCACTCGGGCTGGACACGAGCCCCCAGAATTACCGGTGAGCAAACACGCCAAGGGAAGCGGATCAGGAGACATCAAAGTAGGGGGGCGATGAATATTTCATGTCCTGGCCTACATACAGCCCGGCTGTCCCCGCCCTGCGCTCCCGGGGGCCCCCCACAGCCCCCGATCACAACAAAGGGGAGTTGCGGGCAGGCGGGGCCGCCCCGCCGGACCCTCAGCATCCCCGGCCGGGCCCGTGTGCTCCCCGCTGTACAGCGGCATCCCCCGCCAGACCCATCGCTGAGCCACCCCGCAGCATGTGCACCCGCCGCTGGACCCACCGAAACCCAGAGGCAGACCGCGAGCATCCCCGCCGCGACCCACAGCCGGCTCACCGGACCGCGGGCACCTCCCGCGGCCGGACCCACAAACCTGCCCGCCGGAGCCCGGGCATCCTCGGCTGGACCCGCAGCCTCCTCGCCGAACCGCCAGCATCCCCGGTCGGACCCACAACCGGCTCACCCGCTTGTGGGCATCCCCCCGCCAGCCCCACACGCGGACTCGGCGCATACCCCCCATCCCCTCCGCCGCCCGCTCACCTCCCGCCTGTGCGCGCAGCGGGGCCGACCCCTCCGCTCGCCTCCAGCGCTCGGCCCCGGCTTTGTCTCCGCGCCGGGGGCGCGGCCGCCGCCCCCCGCCGCCGCCGCCGAGCTGGGAGCCCGCCCCGGGTTGGGTCGCGCCGCGCCGGGCGCTCAGGGCAGCGCCGGCGGCAGCAGCATCGCGCAGCGCCGCGGACCCGGCGCGCTGCTGCCTCACCCCTTGCACCGGGGCGGGGGGGACCCACGGGCAGGGGAGGGGAAAAAATAAAGAGGAATATGGCAGCAAACCGGAAACGGCGGAGGGGGGGAGCGCGCAGCCCCTCCCCTGCGCGGGTTTGGTTTTAAGGGAGAAGGCTCCGAGGTGCGCGGGACACGCAGGAGCTGCGTGGTTACGGCGGGGGGAACACGCGCAGGAGCAGCGCTGGTCCCGGTCCCGGTCCCGGTTCTCGTTCTCCGGTCGTGAGGGGCTGGAGGGGACTCGGGGCTCCCCGCGAATGCGGGGTTGAGAGCAGCGCTCCCCGCCCGGCGCTGTTGTGTTTACCTGGAAGGCAGAGCTGGTGGCTGGAGAAGGGATCTTCGGGAGGTTAAACCCCGGCTGGTCTGGGCTTGGCGTTATTGAAGAGGTCTGGCACGCTGCGAATCGCGGGGACGAACGCTGCGCCTCCATCTGTGCCTCGCCATCCCCACAGGGACACCTCGCTGCGGTCCCGGGGGCTGCAATAAACGTACCCCCGTCTCTGAAGTCAGGAGGAGGCAAAACTTCAGGTTTGAGGAAGAGCAGGGAAGAGAGCACGTCCGGGGCCGCCCTGGAGCACCCCGAATTACCACGGGGCCTTTCGGAGGCAGCAGCGTGTCCCGCTGGGGCACCTGCCCCGTCTTTGGGTTAAAGCATCCCCCAGGTCACCCCTGCAGCTGGTGCCAGCCTCTGAAATGAGGCAGAATAGAGCTGCGGGTGTCCCTGGGGTGCCCGGTCCCTGGCTGACAGCATCCCCCTGTGCAGGACTAGGTGAGGTGTGTGTGTGTCCCGCCCCACATCCCGCTCAGGCAGGTGTGCACATGGGGGCAGTTCCAGCCATCCCTCCCCTTGCTTCTCAACACCTTCCTCTTCCAGCACTGGGAGGAGGTGGAAGGTGCTCAGCTCTCCCCGGGCACAGAGCCGTGTCGGGGTGCACAGAGCAGTGCTGAGGCACACAGAACAGTGTCGGGGTGCACAGAGCAGTGCTGGGGTGCACAGAACATTGTCGGGGTGCACAGAGCAATGCTGGGGCACACAGAGCAATACTGGGGCACACAGAACATTGTCGGGGTGCACAGAGCAATGCTGGGGCGCACAGAACATTGTCGGGGTGCACAGAGCAATGCTGGGGTGCACAGAGCAATGCTGGGGCACACAGACCAGTGTCGGGGTGCACAGAGCAATGCTGGGGCACACAGAACATTGTCGGGGTGCACAGAGCAATGCTGGGGTGCACAGAGCAATGCTGGGGCACACAGAGCAATGCTGGGGCACACAGAACATTGTTGGGGTGCACAGAGCAATACTGGGGCACACAGAACATTGTCGGGGTGCACAGAGCAGTGCTCAGATGCACACATGGGCTCAGGGCTCACCTGGGTGTCCCAGCACCTGCACTGAGCCCACTGGGGCTGCGTGCCCAGCTCAGTGGCACTGGCAGCCCTCCCACCTTCCCCAGTAGCGATCCGCTGAGGTGTTCCCTGTCACTTCATCCTGCAGGAAGAAACGGGATGAAGAGTCCGCTCCTCAACCCCCATGAACCAGTTTCTGAGGCACGCTCGGCCGCCGGCCGGCTCCAGTGACCCTTGGGCTGTATTCCCACCGCCAGCACTGCCTCTGTCATCCCCTGCCCACCGCTGCGACCAACCGCTGGAGATGCTCCACAGGGATGTCTTTAAAACCCCATTACTCTGAGGGGGATCTGATGCTTCAGCAACCATTGGGGAAGTTAATAAGGCACAGGGAACTACGTGGTGGAGTTTTTCTTTCAGTTTCCCACCCCCTCCTTGAGTTATTAACAAAATATTTCCCATGACACTGGTGAAGGCCAACGAATCCATGAGTCACCCGGAACAAGGAGTCACGCACACACTGATCCATCAGCCCTGGCCAGCACATTGCAGAGGGGCCCTTCCCTGGGAGGAGCTGCTGATAAGGGCCCTACAGCCGCGCTGAGCTGGCCAATGCCAATGGTTTCACACTTTCCTTTCAGCCTCTCAGCTCCTTCCCAGGCCTGGCAGAGGGAGTCCAAGCTCCCCCCACCCGTTGGGGGTAGCAGCCCTGCTTGCTCCTTGCCAGAGCATCAAACCACAGCCTGGTTTGTACTGAGGCTTTTTGGGGGTGTTAATTCACAGGCACCCCCTCTGCTATCCAGGTGGCATGAGGATGTGTAGGGAGGGAATCCTAATGACCAACATGGGATTAAGGAATTAATCACTCCGTGTGGGTGCTGCTCTGCTCACTCATACTTAGGACATCCTGTAGGGAAAAAAGGTGGTGCCTAGGGTCCCCCCATGCCTCCTCCTGCTGTGCCTGCACAGGGATACAGGAGGCTCCCCTCTCGCTCCTGATCCAGCAACACCCGCTCCCGCAGTGCCAGAACTGGAGCGAGGAGGCACTGCTGGAGGGGAGCGTGGCCCAGGGGAGCGGGGGCCTGCCCCAGCCCTGGGGGAGCAGGTTGGGATGAGTCAGCCTCCCCCGGCTCCAGACCCAAGTCTAAGATACAATTATGACTTGTAAATGTTTGAATTTTGTTCTCCTCTGTTGCAATCAGCTCCCTTCCTGCGGGCTGAGCTGCACTCACACCGCTCCTCCCCGGTGGAGCTCGCCTGCTGCTGGAAGGCAGACGGCAAAGGCCCTCTACCTGCAACACCCCGGACCTCATCCACCGCATGATCTCTTCCTCGGTGAAGATGCCAATGTGTAAAACGGCAAACAGACAGTCTCTAAACCCTGCCTCTTATCTTTTGGGCTGGGATCCAAGAATGTGCCCTCACAGGACTCTGACATGAAACATGCAGTGCTGGCGATACTGTGATTTAAGACCATGTGAGTTTAAGCAACCCAGTGTCCCTGGGTGCAGTGACAACACTCCCCAGCCACCCACTTTCCCTCCTGCCCCACTCTGACTACTTACCTAATCCCCAATGATTCTTTTTTTTTAACCAATCAGGGATTTCAGTGCCTTATTTCAGAAACATATTTGCTTGAGATGATTCTTCCTCTTCACTCCTAAATAGCACCGATACAACCCACCCCGGGGAGAGGAAGAGGCTGCAGAAACGAAAGCCAGGTACTTTCAAATGAAAACCAAACTATTTCTGGTGGCTCAGTTATTACAGCCTGCCTTGAAATTACATTCTAAGAAGAAATCAAGATGGACTAAGGTATTTCTGTGCTTTCCTGCTGACTTCTACACGAGTTCCATTAGGGCAAAGAAGACAGAGTTAGTACAGGCAATGCACTGTCACGTCAGGACTAAGTACGTGACGCCTTCCTCCGCCGGCTGAGCAGATCAAACTGCTCCACAGGGCTCCTGAGGAGCTTTCTGGATCCAGTCATTGATCTGAGCCCTGACCTCTCCAACGTAGCTGTGGATTTACAACAAAACATCTATTCATCTCCAGCCAGATGCTTTTTAAGCATCCCCTTGGCAAGCATGAATACGTTTTGTGTAGTGGGTTCTGCTCCTGAGGAGAGCTGCACTCGGTTCACTGCAGATCCCAAATTATCTGCACAAATTATTACTATTAATAATTGAATGGGTGTGTTTGAGATGCTGGATAGAAGCAGCCCCAGCTCTTGGCCTGAGATTTTACAATCATTGAGCTTTACAGCCCTGCAAACAGTGAGGGTGTGATGGCAAACCATCGGCACCAGCAGCCCCCTTAGAGGAGCTGCTGTTACAAGCTCAGGAGCTATTTTCTAAGGGGGATTGACCAGAATAACTCCTCCACTACGAGCCATTTGGCAATGTTTCATGGTAGAAATGCTCATTCTGGCCATTCTCTCACACTGAGCATCAGGGCTGCTGGAGCCAAGTGCCAAACACCAGCGTCCTGCAGGTTGTAGACTACAAAGGGGCAGCCGAGATACCACTGTGGGGGCTCAGGACAATCTGCCACGCAAGAGGGGCCCTTCACCTCAGCACAGAGATGGCCCCAGCCAGGAAGTGTCACTGCAGAACTCCCTGGGGAAAAGGACTGGGGAAAACCACTGGCTGGTGATGTGCAAATGTTTGATAAGGAGGCACCAAGTTCAACAGCTGGGGGCGGGGGGGGGAATTATCCACATGTTCAATAGAGGCAAAACATTTCCCACCAGGTTTCTGACTGATAAAATAGGATGTTTCCATATAATCTGAAAGTTATCTTGGAATAGCCCATTTGGGCAAAAATCCAACACTTTCTGCTTGTTGCCTCAGAAAAGCCACACACAAAATATCACCATTTCCCAGCGGTGGAGATTCTGCTTTTTGGCCAGTCTTAGTATCAATAGAAAAGAGCAGCTCAGAAAAGCCCACAGAAACTCATCCGGATGAGACTTATAGCCCTCGTTCCAGCTTGCTTTGCCAGCAGAGGGATCTGGTTGGCACAAAGCTCTAGTAGCCACATCCAGGCTGCTCTGCCCACAGCATTCCCTGGAAGCAGAGGTGTCCCAGGCAGCCACCCCAGCAGCATCCTGCTGCTCACCGGCCCACGAGCAGCTGCAGCCTGCGCTGAGCGGAGCTGTGGCAGTCACAAGGGTTTTTCCCCTTCATCATCCAGTCTTGGTCCTTCCAGCAGGGGATGCGCGAGGGAAGCCAGAGTCTGAATGTGAAATTTAAACCATATGATGTTTGGGTCTGTGCTCAGTTTGAAGTGAGCTGAAAAAAGGGGAGCAGAAATGGTTGTGGCTTCTCTTCTCTTACAACCTGCTCCCCCTGCTATTCCCTTCACTGCAGAGGCCTGAATCCATGGGGACATCAGTCACCCAAAGGAGCCACCGCAGCATCACAAGTAGCTGGCTCCTTGGGGACCACAGCCATGAGGACCCTCCTCTGCCATGCAGACCCAGCAGCCATGGGCCAGCCATTTACTGCAGTGAGGGTCCTTC